CCTCCACGAATACAGTAATAGCCTTTATGTATCCCTCTCCCTCCCCTTCTGGTGACCACCATCTTGTTTTTTAAAAACGTGGTAAAATATACATAACATAAAATATACCATTGCAATCATGTTTAAGTGTGCAGTTCAGTGGCATTAAGTACATTCACATTGTGCAACCAGCACCACTATCCATCTCCAGAACATTATTATTATTATCATCCCACACTGAAGCGAAATAAGCCAAGTTAAATCATAACTCTTCATTCCTCTCTTCCCCAGCCACTGGTAGCCTCTATTCTACTTTCTGTCTCTATGACTTTGGCTACTCTAGGCACCTCATGGAAGTATATTCACATAGTATTTGTCCTTTTGTGTCTGGCTTATTTTACTCAGGGTAATTTCTTGCAGGTCAATCCATGTTGTAGCATGGGTCAAAATTTCCTTCCTTTTTCAGGCTCAGTAACATTTCATTATATGAACATATTTTGTTCATCCATTCATGTATTGATAGACATTTGGGTTGTTTCCACTTTTTGGCAATTGTGAATAATGATGCTATGAACGTTGGCATACAAATATCTGAGTTCCTGCTTTCAATTCTTTTATGTATGTACCCAGAAGTAGAATTGCTGGATCAAATGTAATTCTCTGTTTAATATTTTGAGGAACTGCCATATGTCTTTCCACAGTGGCTGCACCATGTTACATTCCCATCAGCAACACACAAGGGTCTCAGTTTCTCCATATCCGCACCGACACTTACTTTCTGTTTGTTTTGTTTTGTTTTATAATAGCCATCGTAATGGGTGTGATCACCATCCTGATTTTGAGTGTATAGTTATTTTCCTTTTCCTTATGGTTTACTAAATATACGTACCTCTAAATAACATTGTTCAATTTGTAAGTTTTAAAGCTTTATTTCAAGAAATTAATTACTCACCAAGCATCTGCTGGATGCAGGCAGTGTGCTGGGCGCTGGGGAAACAAAAAGGAACAGGGTGGGCGAGGTCCTGAACCATGGGGCTGGCAGCCTACTGGGCACGATGCTTTTCTGACAGGGAATTATATATAGGATGCCCACCAAAAGGGACTTGTGGGAGAGGACTGTCAGTTCCTGGGGGCAGGGAGACCTTTTGCGGAAATAATTGGGGGAGTTCGATAACAAAGAAGAGGCTAAGTGGAGGGAAAGCAGATCACAAGGTTTTTGTTTTGGGAAAAGGGAATCTTCCCCAAAGGAGAAGGAGAGAGGGGTGGATGGAAGATGCCAGGCCCGGGTGCTGCGTAGCTGCAGTGGAGGCAGGTGGGCTGGGGTGGAAGTCCCTGAGCACATGGCCTTCCGTGACAGTGATTCCTGCCTTTCTGCAGGCCCCTCGGAGAAGTCACCTTGAGACTGGAGCTTGCTCTCTGGGATTCCCAGATGGGGACCTGAGGCCTGAAGGGACACGTTTCCTTGAGTTCATTTGCCCTGCAGCCGCATTCCCAGAGGCCTTCGCAGGATCTCTGGGAACAGGGAAAAGGCAGATTGTGAATGAAGAAACTCAGTTCAAGTGGGCTGAGGGGTGGAGGGGAGGGGAAGCGATGGTGCCTGCAGCAGCCGTCTCTTACCGCACCCAAAGCACGACTGCGGAGCCGCGCCACCCACCCCTGCAATCTGCTGCCTGGTCACCCTTCTGCCTTGTTCTATTGATAGGCTCAGGGAGCATGTTCCACCTCAGCACGAAAACAAGTTGAAGTCTATTAAAAATCTTCTTCTGCAAACAACAGGGGTGGGGGAGAGGGGATGTTGCCCCACATCCCCTCCACCTCCAATGTGCAAAGAGTCCCATGGGATGCCACGGTGGTCAGACCCTTTTCCACGGTGCTCCAGAGCCTGCGGAGTGGGACTGGAAGGGAAAGTCAAAGGCATCCTGCCACTGAGGAGCCTGGGACACCTGGGACGGCCACGACCTCAGAGAGAAAGGCACACATGGCAGCGAAGCCCAGTGGACTGAGACTTAAGTTCAAATCCTGGAGTGAAAGCTGTGTGACCTGTGGAAATTTACTTAACTTCTCTGAGCCCTTGCTTGCCTCAACTGAAAAGTGGAGATCACAATTCTTTGTGAATGGATTTGAGGATTAAGAGATAATGTGCGTGAAGTAATAATACAGTGTCTGGCATATAGGAAGCATTTACTAAAAAATAATTATATTTATATACAGTGATACCTCGGTTCTCGAACGCCTCGGTTCTCGACCAAATCGGTATTCGACCAGGAGATTCGAGAAACTTTTGTCTTGGAATCCGAACAAATATTTGGAACTCGAACTTCCGAGCGCGCCTTGCTTGCGTCATCAGTGTGAGTGCAGAGAGAGAGTCACGCTTTGTGGAGAGAGTCACGCTTTACACTGAATTTAACCCTTAGACATACTGTACACTTTTATTTCTTGTTGAGACTTATGTTTTTCTACATATTATATACAAATTAGGCCAGTAAATAGGCATTTTCTGGGGCTTGGAACGAATTAATCCAGTTTCCATTATTTCCTATTGGGTTTCATTGCTTCGGTTCTCGAACAATTTGGTTCTCGACCGTCCTCCTGGAACGAATTATGTTCGAGAACCGAGGTATCACTTGTAGTTTAAAAAATCAAGTGGGTCTACAAAGTTTATAATGAAAATGATAGATCTGTCATTTCCTGTCCCACCTCCCAGAGGCAAAACTTAGCAAAATGACCTCCCCTCGGAGATATTTATCACAGCGCTGCTTACAATAGAAAAAGGCTGGAAAGGACCTAAATGTCCATCAATGGTCAAGGGATGCTATGTAACAGGGAAAGACAATGGAGAATCTCTTTATGTATTGATATAAAATAAGGTATATTAACTGCAAAAAAGTGAGGTGCAGATGAATTCACTAGCATGCTACCCATTATGCAAAAAAGGGGGAAGAGATATGTGTTGCGATTTTGATGGAGTGCTCAGAGGGCCCAGTACACTTGAGCAGAGAACCGAGGGAGTGAGGAGTGACGTGTGTATATGCACACGTATTCTATGCGCAGACTTATTGGTTAGGTTATGAGAGAAACTGGCTATACTTATTGTCTTCCAGGGAAGAGAAGGTCGGTTAGGAAATGGGTGTATTTATGTATTTTGCATTCCTTACTCATTAAAAAAAAATTTTTTTTTAATAACCTCATTACGGTGGATAGAATTTAAGGTGGTCCGAATGGTCCTGGCCTCCTGGCATTCACATTCCTTCAGAGCAGGACTCTTCTGGCAAAGGTGATGAGATATCAGTGCCACGATTATGCTGTATTACATAAGACTCCGTCTTAGCCAGCTGGATCAAGTGGCTCCCTTGTGGGCTGGATAAAGTGAGTGGCCATGATGGAGAAGCCCGCACAGTAAGGAACTGTGGCTTCTAGGGACTTCTGGTGGCTTATAAGCCTGAGGGTGACCTCCAGTTAACAGCTAATAGAAAGCTGGGGTTCTAGTCATACGACCACAAGGACGTGAATTCTGCCAACAACCTGAATGAATTTGGAAGACGATTCTTCCTCAGTCCAGCCTTCAGATGAGAACACAGTCCCGGCTGATGCCTTGATTTCGGCCTGGTGAGATGCTGCCAAGGACCTATGCCCAGACTCCTGACCCGTGGCAACTGTGAGATAATCAATGTTTGGAGGTGCCCAGTTTGTGGTTATTTGTTAGGCAGCCATAGAAAACAAACACACTCTTGAGTTGTGTCTTCTGGTATTTATCTCCATATTTCTAAGTAATGTGCTTATGTTGCTTTTCTCAATTTGCCAAATTTAGAAATTATCTATTGGAGTCTTATTCTGGCAGAGAGGATTTGTTCTCTTCACACCCTCTGCCCTCCTCCTACCCTCCTACAGGATAATGGCTTCAGTATTTTGTAGTTAATATCAGTAGGCAGTGTTTAATAATTGTAACTGTGTAAATATTGTTTATAGCAGAGCAAGTAGTATGCAGTGATTATATTTCCTTTCTTCCTTTGTTTATCTTCGGGTTAATAATTACCTCATTTTAAATTTACCTGTTTTCTATGCCTTATTTTCTATTTTCTTGCCTTATTTCTCCTCCGGTTGCTCCTTCAGCTCTTGCCAATGCCTAACAATATGATTTCTGAACGATGAAACCTGTCATTTAAAATATTGATCTCATTTTTGCCCTAGTGTCTTCCTCCGGAGCAGATCTGCCTCCTACTCCAAACTGTTTGCTTGCTCCCTAGGTCTGCTGTGCAGCTGTCATTCAGAGACTTGCATTCGCTGCTCTGCTCGATCCCAGCTCTGCTCTTCCTGAATCAACATCTTCTAAATTGGTTTATAACCTCGTTTTGGTGAGGCACATCCTTCAGCATTTTTTTTTTTTTTTTTTTTTTGACAGGATGCATGGGAGGTCAACTTGTTTGTCTCTTTACATCTGAAAAATGTAACACTTACTGATAAGGGCTGAATATAGCCTCCTACGTTTACAAGACATGTTTCCCTTGTCTCCTGGTTTCTAGTGTTGTTGCAGAGAAATCAGTATTATTCTGACTCCTGGTTCTCTTACTCTGTTCTGTTTTAGCTCTCTAGAAGCTTTCTGGATCTTCTATCTTTGGTGTTCTGAAATTTCAAAATTTAAAAACTGGCGTAGGTCTTTATTTTTTCATTTGTAATGATGAACACTCAATTGGCACTTTCAGTGTGGAAATTCAAGCCCTTCTATTCCAGGAATATTTTTTGGATATATTTACTTATTTATAAAAATATTTTTTTTCTTTATTGATTTTAGAGAGAGGAGAGGAAGGGAGAGGGAGAGATAGGAACATCGATGAGAGAGAACATCATTTGGCTGCCTCCTACATGCCCCACACTGGGGATTGGGCCCACAACCTGGGCATGTGCCCTAATCGGAAATCAAACTGGTGACCTGTTAGTGCAAGGTCGCCCCAACCGGGCTGAGCCACGCCAACTGGGCTGGATATATTTAAAAAATTATTTCCTCCTACCTGTTTTTTTTTTTTTTAAATATGGAGCTCTTCATGAATGTGCGTGTCATCCTTGCGCAGGGGACCTGCTAATCTTCTCTGTATCGTTCCAATTTTAGTATATGCTGCCGAAACGAACTCTCCTCCTACCTGTTTTATTTGTTGTCTCTTTGATTCTTTAATCTCCTTAACTCATCTGTCCTTTTTTTCTCTTTATTAGTTCTCTTTTCTGGCAGGTTTACCTTTGCTGAATTTTTATTTTAACTATTATATATTTTTAATGTCCATGAGTGCGTCCTTGTTCTCTGATCATTTCCTTTTCCATAAAGGGCAAAGTCTTCTCTTATTTCTCCGAGAATTTGCACTAGAATCCTTTCTGAACTCGTGTTCTGCGCCTTGCACTGTCTCAGATGCTCTGACGGCCGCACAGCCCTGCTTTTGTTTTGAACTTGTTCTAATGTTGGAGTCTTTCCTGAAATATCTGTTACTCTTTGACTGTTCCTAGTTCTGCGAGGCTCTCTAAAGCTTATTAGAAGCTCAGCTTGGGTGCAGCATGAGGACCAGTTGGGCTTTTTACATCGGAAATCACCAAATGTCAGTATTTAGGATCTTTACTGGGGGGGAGGGGGACAACTGCTCTAGAGGGTAATCCTCTGATCACTTGCTTGGGGGCAGGATGCCTGCAGCAGGACCAGCAAATAGGACCCAGAAATCCACTGTGAGGTGTTTAGGCTGCAGCCCTGAACTTCACCCCACCCCTCACTTTGCTTGGTGGCCCCAAGTTCACCTGGGTAGGGGCAGAGGAGGATGTAACCTGCCCAGCTGTGTGGGGCAAAGAAGGGAATCTTGGGGTCTCCCTTAGTATAGACTCCCACACAGACCTCCTTCTCAGCCTACACTTAAAATTTTTTTTATTTATTTATTGATTTTAGGAGAGGAAGGGAGAGGGAAACAGAAATACAAACATCAAGGAGAGAGAACATGATTGGCTGCCTCCTGCATGCCCCTCACTGGCATCAGGCCTACAACCTGGGCACGTCCCCGACCGGGAATTGAACCCTGGTGCGTGGGTTGATGCTCAACCCCGGAGCCACACTGGCCGGGCTCAGCCCACACTTGACCACACTTTCAGTACCTGTTGCCTCCCAGTCCTGTATGTCTCGGGTTTCCTGCGGCCAAACTGGTTTGCTTCTCAGCTGGAGCCTCCTCCACAGGCACGTTAGCTTACATCTCCCTCTGCTAATTTTCCTCCTCCATCTGCTTTCTGTCTTCTAAACTTCGTCAAAATCTCTTATCTATAATTGTCTTCTCTCCTAGTCTCCTGGTCTTTGGGTTTATACTTTCAAAAATGCCTTTGCTTTCACATTTGTGGGTTTTTGGAGAAAGACAGGGTAAACACCTGCAGTCATGTTTGGGAGGAAGTATATTTCCTATACTGGGGGTCCAGGGATTCTCCCCGTCTCTGGATGGTGTGAGCAGTGGCTGAGCTCTCGGGGCTAGGAGAGCTGCTGCCCAGGTCCCAGAGCCCTCCCTGGGACCCCAGACGGTGTCCTATCTTCGGAGCCTAATGTTGGGAAGTTAGAACATGTAAGAAATGAAATGACACCTCCCACCCTGGGGACATTGTGACATTGGTTAGCAGAAGCCAGAAGGCTTTCCCTGTCGGGACCACTTCTAGGCAGTCCCAGGGCCATGGCAGGGTCTCGCAGTAGTGTCCCGCTCGCCGACTCCCTGGCAGAGTGACAGGAGGGAGGTACACCATCCTCTGCTGGAAACCTGTTTGTTGACGACTCTGATGGTCTTGATGAGCTGGACTAATGGGACAGAATGAGCCTCTGCTGAGCAGGCGACTTATAGGCACTGTCCCACCTGATCCTCCCCTCAGCCCTCTGGGATGGTCTTGCCGCCTCATTATACAGACGAGGAACCACGCTTCAGAGAGGTTGAGCAGTTTGACCAGGATCACACAGCTAATAAGTGGTAGTCCCAGAATCCAACCCGGGTCTGCCTAAAGCCAAACTCAGTCTCTCTCCACTCCACCTGGCCACCTCCAGAGAAGTGACTCCTGTTCCTTCCAGGGATGAGTGGGGTCGCAGCCTTCATGGCAGGACCCCTGGAGAAAGACCCAGAGCTGCTGTTCAAGCTGAACAAGGCCTGGAATCAGCTGCGGGGCTTACTCCTCTAATAACCTGGCACAGCCCGAAACCCTGGTGTGAGAGAGGCAGCTAAGCAGAAGCCCTGTGTGTGTTCTCCTCAGCACACAGTCTGGGGGTGGTGGGGTGCCCTTTGGAGCCAGGAACAGGATTTAATATGCAAGGCTGTTCTGAGCTCTCCTGAGCCTGCCAAGTTAATTGGATCTGGGACATCTGCAACCTGGGCTGAAGCATCTACATCATCCAGGAAGGTCTGGTCCTTCCAGTCCTATTAATATGTGTCCAAAGTCCCAAACCCCAACCACCTCCAGCTGCTGCCTGGGACCACCTCTGAGTGGTCAGAGTTCATTTTTATTATTTTTATTTTATTTTATTTTATTTTTACTTCAGATAGACTGTGAGGGAGAGAGAGAGAAAGGGAGAGAAAGAGAGAGAGAGGAGAGAGACATCGACTGGTTGCCTCCCGCACGACCCCAACCAGGGCCAGGGACTGAAACACAACCAAGGTACGTGCCTTTGAATGGAATCGAACCCGAGACTCTTTGGTCTGAGGGTTGATGCTCTAACTGCTGAGCAAAACCAGTTAGGGCTGAGTGGTCAAAGCTCAGAGCTCAGGCTCTGAGGGAGAGTCAGATAGGGGCAAAGATACGAAGATAAAGAAGTCAGGCCCAGATGTAGAAATAGAAATAGACCAGCTGTACGGATGCAAATGCAGCTGTTTAGATGTAGACATAGAGGCAGATACCGATAAAGACAGAGGTGGCACCAAAGCCAGCCCAGGCAAGGCACGCCTTGAAGATAGCTACCCCGTACCAAGTTCACTGAGTCCCCCATAGCCCTTGCGAGGCAGGAATTTTTATCCCCATTTTAGACAAGAAACCAGGGCTCCTGGAGGTTGAGTGGCTTGCCCCGGCCACACAGTGACGGAGAACTGAACTACGTCTTGTTCCTGGGGCCGGAATCCCAACATGGTGACTGGCCCAGGCTGGAGGACCCTGGGATTCGGGCCTTCCTTGCTCCTGGCCGACCACAGTTCCACTGCCTCCTAGCAGCCCTCCCTGCCCTGGTCTCTGTCCCCTCCCTGTGGAGATGAACTTGCTGAATTTCCTGACACCGGGCTCTGCCTTTCTCAGGAACTTCCTAAAACCAAACATCAAGGTGTGACTCAAATCCTTCACTTCCAATGTCGCTGAGCCATTTCTACATGCCAGATACTTCCCCGGGCACTAGGGAGAGTGGAGAATAAAATGAGTCGGTCCCGGTCCCTGGGGAGCTTATAAGCAGCAAGGCAGAAAGATATGAAATACAACATTAGAATGGTGGTCGGCGCCACGGGAATCCTCAGGGCTGTGGAGTGTTTTATAGGGGGACCTGAGCAGGTCTGAGGGGATCAGGGAAGGCTTCACTGAGGAAGTGACGTCCCTCTCTGTTACCACACCCCCAGGGTAGGTCTGGCCCAGGTCCTGTCACCCTGGAGCTGCCCAGTTACGGGGGCCATGCCCAGCTGCATCCATGATATCACACTTTATCTCCCCTTCTTCATATACCCTTTCCTGTTGCTACACAAGTCCTGGCAACACCCAAGACTACAGGGCCCCAAGCCTTCATTTATGATCCTTGTTAGCAGGGTTCCTCGCCCATAGAACCTCAGGGCAAGAGAGAAATACAAGGACGGTCCCCTTCAGCAATGCTTTGATGACAAGGCTGGAGACCCTGGGTTTGATCTTCCCTGAGCTCCACTGTGGCTCCGAGAGCGGCCCCTGACCCACTGCTGCTTCTACCTTCATGTGAGTCTCCTCCGAAGCCGGGGGGAGGGAGGCTCAAAGAGAAAGCATGAGAGAGATGTCGTCAGCGGGCCCTGCTGGGCGCTTCGGTACATCCTGCAATTCTAGAACCAGATCGACCCTGTTATTTCCTTTGATTAAACTTCTGTTTTCCTTCAGCCCACTGGATCCATCTTTTAGTTATTTAATTCTAACTGTAATAAAAAATCCATTGAACTGCTCGCACACGAATGCAATATGAGGCTGGCAGCAGGCCTGGAGGGCGGAACCGAGCAAAGTGGAACCTGCAAGGCTTTGTCATCTTTATGTGCTCAGGTACAAAAAAAGTCTGATCATATTTTAAGTCAGCATGTGGGATGGGAGACACGCTCAGGAAAAGCTGGGGTTTTGTGGGGCAGGAGGAGGGACTGGCTGATAGCAAAATACTGTCCTTAGTCACTGCTACCTTCCTTCTGGCTTTTGGGCATTTGGGTCCTGGGCCTCCACCCACCCAGTCTCAGAGCTTGCGGGCCTCGTACCAGCACCCCAGCACCGTGTGAACTGGCCTCAGGCACCCACATAATAGTCCTGTCTTTAGACTGGAGTTACACGCTCTGACTCACCTTCCAAGCCTCTAGGCACATTGTTCTTATTTTTTCAGTTCTGTCTTTGAGGTTTATTTCCCTCTCTGGCCTTGCCCCACCCCTCAGACCCAAGCTCAGAGCTGGTTCTCTAGCTTTGACTTCCTGAGATTTTGGTCCCTGCCAGGCCACCATAGACCCCTCCCCAGACCATCCTTCTAGCCAGCCTGGTTCCCCAGGGTCCCACAGTTGGTTTGCTCATGCTTGGGTGTTGCCCAGCCTGGTTATGTGTCTCTGAGGGAGACCTGGATGCCCCCTGCCTTGGCCACGGCCCTCTCTGTGCTGGCAGAGCCTGACCTTCCAGATGCAGCTTCCCTCGGGGGTCTGGGTAGAGAGAACTGCTTCATCCCGGGGCCCAGGATGGCTGGAGATGCTCTTGTATACCAGAAGTCCCCCTGGAGGGCGGGGGCCCAAAGGAGAATTTCAAAATAATGAAAAAGTAGTATGCAGGGGAATGGACCAACACTGACCAAGGTCTAGCCCAACTCTGGAGCAGGGTCCTGGGGGCCCCACACAGGGCCAGGCATTAACCCTTGAGTTGTGGGGCCAAGAGAAGCTCCTGGGCTCCAGTGGGGGCTCCTG